TTCCCCCCCCCCCCCTTCTCTCCCTCTCCCATCCCAAAAAGTTTGGTTATTCTCCTCTAACCTAGTATTTCCTATCCACATGTACTGTGGCTGACTTTATTTTATTCACACAAATAAGCATAATCTTTTTTCCTTTTTGCAGTCATTTACCAGAAAAAATTAAGAATGACAATCAGCTAAAGAATATGAGTGGGCAGTGGTTTTATGAAGCAAAATCAAAGAGGCACAGAGATAAAATACATGGAGCAGATATCATTAGAGCATCGATAAGAAGGAAACCCAAAACAATAGGTAAGTTTATTTCAGAGATCCTGGTATAGTGACACTTCTCATAGTTAGTGCACCCAAGGCATTTGGCATCTTTGAAGGTGTTCTATAAAAATAATGCAATCTCCTCCTGGGCAAGACTTGCAGTAAAAGAAGTATGTCTGCTGTTTATTGTGTGAAGTACATTCTTCTTTGAATACATCCTGTTAATGCTGACTACAAATGTAGATGGAAAGGATTATCTTCTGCTTACAGAATAGGACCCTTTGACCTGGGTTCTGTTTCCAGCTCAGGTGATGATTCCTTGTGTGACCCTGAGCAAATCACAAATGACCCCTGATTTGGGATGCCCCAGCTTTTGGGTGCTCTACCCAAAGTTTGGTGCTTTCTATTTGTAGTGGTTGATCAGAGATGCTTCAACTGATTGCTCCTCTATTCCTGAGAGTAACGTACCTGTGGCAAAAAGGAAGTGCTGTACTGTTAATTAAGCTGATGGTAAAGTGGTGTATATTCATCTGATAATGCAATACGAGTCCCAACAGCTTTACTCATTATTAATATATGCAAAAGGGTATATTATTTTCTCTCTAACTTAATATCTTGTTCCATGTCATTTTTATTATGAAAACAGCTCTGAGCATTTGAAGAGCATTACTTCTGTAATTGAATTTAGCACATCTTTCTCTTTTTGAGAGAATCTGTAAAACTAAGGTATTTTTGTTGTCTGTTTGCTGAAATCTGTGACCCTTATTGTCAGCATGGCCCCTATTTATGATCATTCTGTGTGTTTACGTAAAATAATTTGCTTTGCTAGAAAATTTACCCATGTCAGTTCCATAGATAGACTTCAATGCAACAACTTGTAAGTTTTCTATAACTAAAACTCATCCCTATTTCTGAATTGAGATTATTCTTTATTCTTATAAACTGCTTTGCCTGTCCTTAGAGCAAGTATAGAATCAAGTATGGAGATCATGTTTGGTAAGTAGTAGTAGCCTGGTCACTTTGAAAAGTACTCTTTGTCTATCTATGTGAGTAAGAGAAGACCTAAAACAAGGAGAAATACAGGGAGCCAGAAATGGGCAAGAAGACCCCTATTAGTATTCTTTCTAATTTAGAGCTTGATCAGTTGATATTCCATAACATTTCAGGTTGTGTGTTTAAGCTCTTGCTGAAGAGTTTCTCTATATGTTTAATATTGAATACTGTGTCTGCTACTTTGCAGCTTGAAGGAACAATAATTTATTATAATTTAACAGTAATAAGACTGCAATTACTTGGACAGGCCATGTATTAAGGTAGGGGTTCCCAAACTTTTTGACACAGGGACCAGTAAATCCATTCACGAGCTTTTGGAGGACCGATAACATTCATTTGCATTTTCATTAAGCAAATGATGAATATGCAAATAAGTTGTTTCTGGTCCTCCCAAAGCCCCCAGTGCCTGCTTTAGCAAAGCTTTTGATAGTCACCCACAATATTCTTGCCAGCAAGTTAAGGGCATATGGATTGGATAAATGGACTGTAAGATGGATAGAAAGCTGGCTAGACCAGGGTTTCCCAAACTTTTTACTTTAGTTGGAACCCATTCTTTTCAGTACTGTTTTTTGCAGCCCAAAAATATAAACACCTATTAAAAAAAAGAATTAAAAATGAATAAATGTTCAATGTTTCACCGGGCTGCATCCTCCGCCTAGCCTGGGCCAGGGTTGGGGGACCCGGCGCTGCACGGGCACTCTGGGAGGCGGGAGCAGGAGCAGATTGGGGGTAGGGTATCTGGCTAGGAGGGAGGGTGCAAGAAGGGGTAGGGTTGCCAGGTGTCCAGTTTTGTACTGGACAGTCCGGTATTTGAAGGTTCTGTCTGAGAAACAAATTGAGAAAATACCGGACATATAAAATGTCCAGTATTTTCTAATTAGGTAAGTTTTATTATTAAGTGTATCAGTCCGTAGCTGCGAACTGCCTGGCTTGTAGATGTGCTCCTAGCCCCTCTGCCCCTGTCCAGCCCTGCTTCTGGCAGCTGGTTCTCCCGTCCTCCTCCTCCTGATCTGCCCAGCCCTGTTCCTCCACCTGCCCTCCCGAATCTCTACGGGACAGCCCCGCTAGCCCTAGCCCTGCTTCCACCGCCCGCCCACCTGGATCTCTGCGGGACAAGCCTGCTAACCCCAAACCTGCTTCCGCCGGCCGCCCACCTGCCCAGATCTCTGCCGGACAGCCCCACTACCCCTAACCCTGCTTCCACTGGCCGCCCACCCACCAGCCCCGATCTCCACAGGCCAGCCCCGCTGCCCCCAACTCTGCTTCTGCCGGCCACCTGCCCTCGCCCCCATCTCCACGGGACAACCCTGCTGACCCCAACCCTACTTCCTGGTGGCCGGTTTCCCGCATACACATACACCTCCTCCCAGCCCACCCCGCTCCGCTCCCCTCCCGGCAGCCACACTGAGGCCCAGTATTTTTTTCCGGGCTGTGGCCCATAGTTTGGGAAACGCTGTATTACGGCATTCAAAACAGGCTTAAATCTGACTTGTAAAATACACGGAATTGTTTAGCTCCAATGACTCATAAGATGATTAAGCAATTTCCCTCACTGCTCTGCTCTGTGAAAACATGCACTCACAGGCGGCCCTAGACTAGCTGCAGGCAACTGGCGCCCTAGGCGAACCATGCAATTGGCGCCTACACCTCCAAACCCCTCAATGATATTGCGCCACCATTTGGCGCCCCATTTAACTTGGAGCGCTAGGCGACTGCCTATTTTGCCTATACGTACGAGCCGCCCCTGCAGGTACCTGAAAGTGACACACACATTTCTACACGCTAAGAAGTAAATCTTGTTTTCGGGATTATTATGGAAGTATAGACGGCAACAGAAGATACTGTAAAATATTTTATGACTTCAGCAATCTAGAGTTCTGACACTCCTCCCCCAAAGACAAACAAACTAACAAGCCCAAGCAAACAAACTTAATTGCATGATCATTGTTCAAGTCAGCTTATATCTCTTCTATTGCAGAGATTCTCTGTAGTTTTCTTCCAGGCACAACCTCTTCCGCTTGTCCCTCCCAAACACACCAACTAGCTGTTGTTCCAGGACGTCCCGTCCCCTAATTTAGCAATATAGAAAGGGTGCAAAGTGTTCCTTCCACTCCATTGAGAACTCATGTTTTACAGAACTCTCCCTTTCATTTGACCACCAAGTATTGTGGTTAAGACTCGTGATGCTAATGTTGCTTTCCATGGGCATTTAGCTGCCGTTAGAGGTACAAGAAGACCTCTGCTAATTCATTGATTGTGATACTTTACCAATTAAAATTGTTTTAACATGTAGGACTCTTGGTGCAGTGGATATTGCAATTGGGTTTTCATTTTAACATTCCACCCCACGAATCTACTTTAGATGACTCAACATACCCTTACATGTTATCCAAGTACAATATAATTGTGAAATAATGTCGAAAGCTATTGGAACTACTTGCCTGTATTTACCTGCAGTGGAAACCCACATGAAGATAATGGGAGATTAACCTTGGTCTTGTTTATTATTTTAGCTGAGCGGAGGGAGAACAAATCGGACAAGACAAAGAACAGTTGGGTGAACAGTGTCAATAAGGAAGTTTATGTCCCAGCAGAGCTCTCTGGTATCATGGAAGAGACAGAAGATGGGGAAGTGAAATCCAATCAAAGGTAAAATGTTCTCTGAGATGGAATCGGTAACCTGACTTTGTATTAATTAGACTGAGTAAAGTTTGTGACGTGTTTCCTCTTTCAGCATTTCACATAAATATTTCTGCCATTTCACGCAAGGTCCCCAAAGCCTCCCATTGCAATTTGATGACAGTGGAGTGCCAACACTTGCTCAAACTGGCCTGGAAACCCACATCTGCAGTAGCTTAACATGTCATGGCTTTGTACATTCAGAAGTTCCTGGAAACACCATGATAGCCATCTTTGGCAACATTGACTCTGGGTAGACAAGCCAGGGGTTTATAAAGCATTGTCTCTCATATGTTTATGTAAGCACGCACCAGAGGACAGGTGGAGTTTGGAAACTGCCATGGATGTATGCAGTCTGGCTTGATTTCCAGACGTGCCTCAGAGATGTTCCATTCTCCAGTTAGAATAATGGACCAAACTGAGGTGCAAAGCCCCTGGCAGCCACAGATAGCGGAGGTGGCCTAACTGAGATCAGTTTCATTTTCCTTGCTAGCAAGATGGTGAGCAGATTTGGGACTAGACCAAACATTTAGGATACTCCGTGAGGAAAAAATCTGATGCTACCACTCTGCAACTTCTGATGAAGCCATCCCCAGGACAGAGCCATTTCCAGCGAGAACATCCTGTCTGAGACATTCAAAAATTAGACACAGTTAGGTTGAGAATCCCAGATAATTTCAACTGTTGTGGTAAAGCCTGGAGAGAGGTGGGCTTGGAGGGATGCAGGACCTGATCTATAAAGGACGTGATAATTTTGGGGGCTTGTCTGTTGTTTTATAATATGAACGGGAATGGCAGTGACGTTTATTTCCAGCCACAAAGGGAATAGATCATTAGAGTGAAAGTGAAATGTACTCTCTTCGTGAGACACACGCAGAGTCCAGTGTTCCAGCTCAGAGTGACAGGAGCATGAAAACCTGTAGAGTAGGGGCCCCAGACTGCCAGGCACATACCTGTGGAGAGGGCACAGAGGAATGTTTGCAGGGGGTGTGGCAGGGGTCTGGGAGGCAGAGAGGGAGTGCCATACAGCTCCATTCCTGTCCCTGCGTCCAAATCTGGCCTTGGTCCCTTTACACCTGTCCAGAGGGGAATGGGGAGGACAGGGCTAAAAAGTTTGGAGACCACTGCTATAGAGGCTTCTGAAAGGAATGAAGCGAAGCAAAAATGGAAGAAAATTGCTCTTACTTGCCTCTTGTATATTGATTCTCCAGAATCAGCTGAGGAACATAAGAATGGCCGTACTGGGTCAGACCAAAGGTCCATCTAGCCCAGTGTACTCTCTGCCGACAGTGGCCAGCACCAGGTGCCCCAGAGAGGGTGGACCGAAGACAATGATCAAGCTATTTGTCTCCTGACATCCCTCTCCAGCCTCTGACAGACAGAGGCCAAGGACACCATTTTATCCCCTGGCTAATAGCCTTTTATGGACCTAACCTCCATGAAATTATCTAGCTTCTCTTTAAACTCTGTTATAGTCCTAGCCTTCACAGCCTCCTCTGGCAAGGAGTTCCACAGGTTGACTACGCAATGTGTGAAGAAGAACTTTCTTTTATTAGTTTTAAACATTCTCAACAAATGTTTCAATAAGACCTCTAGACCCAGGGTGTCAAATTCCTGGCCCACAAGCCAGTCCCAGCCAGAGTGATTTTAACAATAAAAGATGAAAAATTATTTATCACTGATGGAGTAATGGTGTAGCCATGAGTGGGCCTTAATGGACTGTGGTTCACCAACTATTCATCCACACCCAGCCATGGAGGCCATGCACAGGGGCTGACCCTGCTGCGTTCAGAGCAGTCTGGGGCACTGGGGCAGACCCTATTGCACCTGGAGAGTAGGGTTGAGGTACGAGGGCAGGGTGTGGAGGCTTATTTTCCCCACCATTGCTCACCCTCCCAAAGTCAGGGCTGCTATGCCACTATGATGGAGAGTCCTAAATAGCTGCTGCTTTTCCTGTTCATGTTGTTTAATCATAAAAGCTTATTCCACAGGTTCTTAAAGGCCCACTGTGTAGCCCACTTCTGTTAGTTGTATGGTGATCATGGAAAGAAAAACTAGATACTCTGAAACAAACAAAAAGCCATGGTATTACTACTTGTACCATCACGTTGTGGCTCATTTATTAGTCCAGTACTTGCTATGGGACTGATTAAAAAGTACAGAAATGGACAGGAAAACCTGTAGCAATATTTGGTGATATGTCAGACTGCACTATTTTTTTATTCTTTTTTAAGCAAATTAGCATCTACCTTATTAGCCAGGATGGGTCGGAATGGTGTCCCTAGCCTTTGTTTGTCAGAAATTGGGGATGGTGATAGAATAGGGGTCACTTAATGATTCACTGTTCTGTTAGCTCCCTCTGGGGCATCTGGCATTGGCCACTGTCGGCAGATAAGATACTGGGCTAGATGGACCTTTGGTCTGACCGAGTATGGCCGTTCTTATGTACTTCGGCATTTTTAAGAAGCTTCAGGAGTTTCCCTAAATGCTCGTTGCAACAACTTATGATATTGAGCTTTCTTTTTTCTGTCTATATGCCTGTAAAGGGCTATTTGTGAAAGCAGTGGTAATTAATTGGCTCACCTATTGTAGAATTGTCTCTGTGAGAGTTTTATGTGGGCGAAGGAGATCTTAATGGCCTTTTATTTCATATTGTAGTTCCAAATTAGTGCGAAACTGAATAAATTTTACAACCTTTATCTGTCTCCCATTTACTGCTTCAAAAAATGTCATACAGCCTTAAACACATTGAGTAATAGAACTTGTCCTTGTGCTGTGTCCTTGAATAGGAAACATACACCTGCCATTCTTTCTTATGCTGCAGTTCCATAGGCTAGAGGGAGCCATCTAATTCTTACAGCAGTTGAACCAGTTATTATATTCAACACTTGAACAGCATCTTCCATTTTTTTGGTTTTAGTGGATTACAACTGATATACTGGAATAGAATTCAAAGCTTTCCAGTTCCCAGCCCCATGCTCAACTCATTTGATCACGATGCCACTTCTAAAGCTTGCTTATACAGTACAGAATGGCTAATGGAAGTGTTTGAAGGCAGAGTTCAGAGAATGAATTGCAATATGTAGATCAAAGCTCAGTATTTAATCAAACATTTTTTTGTAATGTAGATGCAAACACCAACTAGAACTGCACTGTCACTTGAAAAATTACCCCATTTTAATTTTTTTTTCTATATGTGAACACACAGAACTCAAATTTTGGGGAAATGCAGGGAGAGACCAGCTTCTTCAAGGGCCCTTTAAAGTGACCTTTTCTTCTGTTCCCTGTAGGGTGGATGTCTTTTGATGTACTCCTTTTGATCTATTTCTGTTTAATTTCTGATCTATGTGCCCACTTCTAATAGAAACAGCTGATCAATAGCAGCCAGGAAAAGCTGAATCCAGGTCTGCTGGATTAGTGTGACGAGAGATTAGCAGCCTACCTAGAATGTCAGGAAGGGTAATGCTGAAAGCATTCAGTTGTCTTCAAAGGGCAGTAGGTCTTTGAAGACATGTTCTCTTTGGCTACGTCTAGATGGGCATGATTTTCTGCAAATGCTTTTAACGGAAAAGTTTTTCCGTTTAGATTGGCAGAATGCTTTTCCGCAAAAGCACTTTTTGCAGAAAAGCGTCCATGGCCAATCTAGACGTGGTTTTCTGCAAAAAAAGCCCCGATCGCCTTTTTCGCCATCGGGGCTTTTTTGCGCAAAACAATACCACGTTGTCTACACTGGCCCTCTTGCGCAAAAATACTTTTGCGCAAGAGGGCTTTTGCCCGAACGGGAGCAGCATAGTATTTCTGCAAGAAAACTGACAATCTTACATGAGATCATCAGTGTTCTTGCGGAAATTCAAGCGGCCAGTGTAGACAGCTGGCAAGATTTTCTGCAAAAGCAGCTGTCTAGACTTGCCAGTCTAGACACAGCCTTTATGTATATCGAAATGGAAGAGGCATCTGACGGGTGGCCTCTAGGCAGAGCTGTACAGTGAACCCTCGCTACTTCGCGGTTCGACTATCGCGGATTCACGACTTCGCGGACTTTTTTCATTACATTATGAATCCGCGATGGTCGAACCGCGAAGTAGCGGTTACCAAAACTTTAAAAAGCCTCCGGGGAAGCCGGCGGGGGGGCATCCCAGGCGCGCCTGGGCTGCTCCCCCGCCGGAGCCCCTCCGCGGCTTTCAAAGCCTCGGGGGAAGCCGGCGGGGGGGGCATCCCAGGCGCGCCTGGGCTGCTCCCCGCCGGAGCCCCTCCGTGGCTTTCAAAGCCTACTTCGCGGATTTTCACCTATCGCGGTAGGGTTTGGAACCTATCTACCGCGATAAACGAGGGTTCACTGTATATGTACAGTATTATGGGGGCTAATTTGGCTATGACAAATCAGGAAAGAGATCTTGGAGTTATAGTGGATAGTTCTCTGAAAACTTCCACACAGTGTGCAGCGGCGGTCAAAAAGGCAAATAGGATGCTAGGAATTATTAAGAAAGGGATAGAAAATACTACACAGAATATCTTACTGCCCCTGTATAAAACTATGGTATATCTTTTCTGAGGTGAGGAGACCACATCTGTACACAGTATTCAAGATGTGGGCGTACCATAGTTTTATACAGGGGCAATAGGATATTCTGTGTCTTATTTTCTATCCCTTTCTTAATAATTCCTAGCATCCTAATTGCCTTTTTGATCACCGCTGCACACTGTGTGGAAGTTTTCAGAGAACTATCCACTATAACTCCAAGATCTCTTTCCTGATTTGTCATAGCCAAATTAGCCCCCATCATACTGTACATATACAGTGAACCCTCGTTTATCGCGGTAGATAGGTTCCAAACCCTACCGCGATAGGTGAAAATCCGCGAAGTAGGCTTTGAAAGCCACGGAGGGGCTCCGGCGGGGAGCAGCCCAGGCGCGCCTGGGATGCCCCCCCCGCCGGCTTCCCCCGAGGCTTTGAAAGCCGCGGAGGGGCT